ATTTTCAAAAATGGACATTACAAAGAACAAGCAAAGAACTAGGATTAGTGATGCCCGAATTGTCGCAGTTTTCGCACGATGTTCCGTTTTTAACTTTCAAAAAATATATGCGATCCGCAAAAGAATAGCAACCCTAAATTTTGTCCCGCGAGCGACGTAAAGTTTGGGACCCCTGGGCTATCCGAGTCCACAAATTCAAAACAAACGACTGATTGAATCTATGGACTGTAGATCGGACTGGAGGACGTGGTAGGATGAGGAATCGGGGATGAATTTTACCGGAGACCGTTATATATCATGTATTTTGGTGAAGGTCATCAGGCTGTAGAGATGAATGAGAAAATCCTTATTATAAGTTTTGGAAAATTAATTTTGTTTTCATTATTTTAATGTGAAATGGGGTGAATTTAGGGAATTAAATGCAAGAGTACACGCGGTTTTTGAGGAGGTAGAACCCTGAATTCTTTCATTTCCGACCTTCGATATAATTAAAGAGGGGTTTTCAGCCGTGCTGCTATTGCTATCAAAACAACTAAATCGCCTTTCCATCAGTAAACGGGGTAACTTTAGATATAATGAAAAACTCGCTGAAAAACACCAAGCTCATCCATCTCATTAAAAAATTCTATAAACTATGATTTGTCTCTTTCCTTGGTCTAGAATATATTCGTTTCAGACTTTCAATTTTTTTTGCACTGCCGGGGGGCGATGAAGTTGTATAAACTACTGTAGGGGGGGGGGTCGATGGTACAAAAAGTTTGGGAACCACTGTACTAGGCGAAGGCCTAGATATTTGGATGATTACATTTGATTTTACTGTGATAATGCTTTTATCAAGCTTTTAACACTTGATTGTTTTGATTTTAGATATACATTTCATTTGAGTGTACAGTTCTTTACAGTTTCTTCACATTTTTATGTATTTTCAATTTTGGAGATGGAAAATTCCTTTGTAATTTTCCATCTGAAAAAGGGGGGAGTAAAGAGACGACCACGTCTATAACTCTGTTTTATTCTGTATGCCCATATTTATTCTTACCACTTGAGTCACTACAGAGCAGTATCTTTCCTTTTTCGCTGGTTTGTCATAGTGCCGGCAGTGTGGAATTTCCTCTGTGTTTGAGGTTATTATTATAGTGTTTTAGTGCCGTTAATATGTGTAATTCTTGTCGTAGACTGTTAGTAGTAGTAAAAGTTAACTTTCTCCAATTTGGCATAGCTCTACTCACTAGTTATCTTGTATTTAACGTTTCCTTAACTAGTCTATTTTTGCAGTTTAGTTCCAGTGTGATATCCGTATTTCTATGTGTATTGCCAGGTATATAATATAGGATTGGTGTTGCATCTTTAGTGTCATACTAGTTATTCTTATGTATTTCTGGGTATGTTTTGCCTGGTTTTTGTATATTCCATTGCAGGTCAGTAGTTCATGACTGTGACGTCATAGACCAATTCCTACTTGTGTTCCTTATGTATCTGTATGGTATTTTGTACTGTATTTTTATTTGTTTATTGTATTTCTTATTGGAGTATTTGGTTGTATTAAGTTCTTACAGGTGTATAATTAATCTAGTTAGTTAACTTAGTTACTCTGTTGTAATTGGAACCGCAAAAAGATTATTTTGGGGTCGACATCTATTTCAACTTCAGTGTCCAAGAAGCTGGCAGAAAGAACCTGAGTGGTGATACCAATTCCGGTACGCCACACGTATGACTTAGTTTAGTTACCGTGATTATTAGATTTTGTTTTTAGTTGTTTAGGGCTAGTGCATTCAGACTAGTTATATGTTTATGATTGAATAGGAATTATAGCTCCACTGAATGTCCCTTATCGTTTTTATTTGCAGTTAAGTTATTTGTCTTAATTGTGATTTAAGTTGTTCACTTTTGTAAAACCCGTTAGGGTGCTCATTACCCGTAACGGTACTAGTTACCCATTACCCCGGTTTGGACGTTTCGTATTTGTTCTCAATACGTTATCTACATCTGCAAGTTACCTATATATTCACTGTCATTATTTCTGGATTTGCTGTTCGATGATTAACTTTCGACATTAAGTGCTGTGTAACCTTTTCAATATAAGTTTCAAAGTAATTCAGATTGTTTGACAGTGCGGAACCGGGGAGGGATTTTGCAAAGTTCAACTAACATCGTATCAAAGTATTATTGTTTGCACCGAGCAAAAGGTTAGGAGTCTACAGTACGCTAAAGTCAAACGCTAGAACTCTAGTCCAAATATCCAACAGTCGGGTATGAAATTAATTATTTATTTATTTTTGGAAGCGTGGACTTGATGGTGAAGAATCCGTAACAGATGAGCGGTTACGTGAACCACCCTATGGCGGAGAGAGGTCCAGCAAAACTCTAGCGCTTAACGCGAAACCACGCAGAATATTTCTAATTGCCAAGTTAGATAAAAACAGCTAGCGGGTTCAGCCTGAAGCCGAAAACATGGGGTTTCAAGAGTCTTGAGGGTCTAAAAATTGCTTTATATGATACACAAAGATGTCTTTTTTTGCATTTCAAAGGGCTACTGACTAGGCCCTGTGCCCTAATCACGTGCTTATTTTGTTTGATGGTTGATTCAGCCCTGACTGAAGCAGAGCCGTAGGTGCGACGAGAATTTGCAACGTGTGTTTTTTTTTTTGAAAAGCGATTTTTCGGCAGTTGCAGATGGTCACAAACTTAGATGTTTTTGACGGCAGTATTTTACTGTTAACCATACGCTCACTGATTGCTCACTATCAATCAATTCTTTCTCCAAACCGAAATAGCTCTGTGGACAGCTTTTTATGATATTGTTAGATATCCTTGGATGCTTGTACCATGCGTTGGTTGAAGCGAAAGGCGCAAGTAAGCGTCATATTACCGTATTTACAGAATACGGGGTGCGTATTATACATTGACATACAAAATATCGAAAAAATTATAATCTTTATTTTATGCTCAACTGGCAGATAATCTCACAAATATTAATCTTAAGTGTTTTAATTTCACTCAGAAAAGTCTGTTAGAATCAGATCATGCTTGATTCGGTAGAACCATGCCCAATACAACGAAATTTAGCGTTAGTAAAAGTCGCAAAAATCTTAAACAAAGGTGAAATAAAAGAACAGCTGTACATAGTTAGTCTCGTTCAGATGAGTCAATAACCTATTATTACTCATACATTCGGAAGGCGTAAAGTAAGCATTACCAATGAGTGACAATCAGGAATGCCCAACCAAAACAATTATTGTCATTTTTGGCGATGACGCGTCAAGCTTCGAGACAGACCATTTTGACTTGTATTGGGGACCTTAGGAAGGGGCCTAGGGGCATGTAATTAATAAACTAGAGTCAAGTCAGGACCCTTGTGACACAGGGTACCCATTCATGGCTAGGCCGCTTCAATTTTGATTTTAAAAGAACAGCTGTACATAGTTAACTACTGTCATTGTCTTGCCGTTTCTCTCATCGAATCGGCAAAACTTTAGGGTCATAAATGACTATACCTATGTCACTCAAATTAGTGACCGGCCGACAACCTATCTTTGAAGTGCGGTGTATGAAAACACTCTCTGTCTTTGGGGCTTATCAGCTTTTAAAAAGATCAGAGACAAAAAACAGCATGATACTTTAATGTCAAATCACATCATGATTGGCAGACCGTTACACCGTAAATACATGAGACAACATAGTAGTTAGGAGATATAGTTAACAAAAGGCAGACAGAATGCATGAAACGATTCCGTGAAAACAACCACATCGCAAGAGATGAATGCAAACCCATATTCGTATTATGCAAGGAGATAGAAAAATTCTCGCCACAGATGCCCCAAAAGGGATATGCGTATTGCCTATGGGTGCGTATTAGGCAATGAGAAATACGGAAAATAAAAATAAAATTTGTACTGGCTGCGTCCTTGGGCAAAAATATGCTGTCGACGTATCACAGTAAGCATCAGTTACAGCTAGGTAGACATACTGTGTCATTAATAAGTTTGCATAACTGATAGAAATTTATCATTTACAAAGTGTAGGAGTGATAAAAATAGGCGCTATCAACTAGGTCCTATTTCAAGTGGAGGGCTTATATTGAAATATTTTTAAAATTCTGGGTAGGTCCTATTTTCAGACTAGGTCTAGCAGGAATACTCATTCCCGGTGCAACAGGGCAATACCAAATTCAATGAGATTATAGGACACTCTAAGCAAATCTCACCAAGCAAAGGGCAATCGTAGATGAAATTCGAGATAAATGCAATATTAATGTAATTATGAGGATTCCCATTTGGTTGAGAACCGCACTGTGATTTGCTGATGTAAGCGCAGATATGGTGACACAGTGCACTAGATTCAGCAGTGTTTGTGATTGTAGAATTGCATTTTGTGTAAACTTTCACTGAGTATGTGGTTTGTATTGAGTCCTAGATATAGCTGTAGATATAATAGAAACCCGTCGAGTTCGAACGAACTCCTTTCGAGACACGTGACCAGTTATTGGAACCTGGGAGAAAACCTACCTACACGACAGGTATGTTTCACAAATTTTATCTGTTCACTGAAAAATATTCAACTGCTATCCGCTAACAAACACATATGGTTTACAGACTTCTCGGAACACAAACTTTACAAGTTTAATTTTCCGTCACCTTTGAATATACTGTATTATAAAAATACATGTGGGCATATTCACCACTGGTACGCTACAATCATTAGTCGTACAGATCCCTAACCTAAAACAACAAAACTTTCCATGTGCTATTCTGTGGTCCAAAAAGTCGACTACCCAGATTTATCTTACTTTTCGGCATTGGAAAGTGCCGTGTCAATGAACGCAATGGGCGCCACTGCTTGATCTACGTGGGTTACTATCTTGTTACATATCATTTTCGGCTGACGAATAAGGTTCAGAAATACAAGTGCGAACCAACAATACCTATTTCCTTTTATACTGCTTTGGTATCAACACAATCATTTCACTTTTTACTTTATTAATCTGATTAATAATTTCTTGACACACATAATCATAAAACAGTAACAAATGACTATTGCTGTGGAATTGGAGTTCCAACTGGTTTGCAAAAAAAACGAATGCGGCTTCTAACTCAAGAATAACAAAATTTAGATCAAGAAAATTTCAGGTTGATATAGCTTTTTACTTGTTTATGATGAAGTTTATTTTAAAGAGACTATTTTTACAATATAGTTCGCATAATTTGGGGCTGATAAATTTTAAACTTGCGATTACAAGTTGACTCCGGCTTCACTACCGGCAGAAAATATTACAAACTCTGACGTCAAGCATTGAAATTTAGGCTCAGGTATGGGAGATGTTTGACATATAGAATTTATCCCATGAATTCATACAAAGTAAAAACACATTGTCAAATAAAACCGGAAAATCCCTAAACAAAAAAATAAGACGACTTTATAGTCTTGTCGCAAATCGTTGGGACTCGGGTATAGGAGGGTATGGTTAACCCCTTAGGAAACCCACAGGTCCCATGGCCTTGTGGCTAATTATTGAAAATCCGATATGAGAAACGCATTGGTTATATAGAATTTATTTAAAGCTGGAAAATGAATTTATGGCCAAAGAACAATAAAATTGTTGCACTTATAGACTACGAATCATGCAACGTTTTTATATACAATCATAACCTGCATTTGATTCAGAAATCGTGAATTAAAGATTGCCCAGTAGTTTGTCTGGCTATGCTGACATATTGGTTTCGAGACTCACATATTACACACTAGAAAAGTTCGTTTAAAGCTCTTGGCATTCCAATCTAATAGGTTGCTTCATTGAATCCTGGTAGGAGCGAACACTATACAAATTAAAATGGTTTAAATCGGGTTCTACTGTACGATATTAAATAAAAATTAGAACATAGAAATAAAATTCACTCCAATAAAAATAATAAAGTCAAACAAAACTCTGCAAGGCCCAAGAGTTAGTTTGGTAAATCGTCAGGATATATTTCCCACTGCGCAACGAGTGTTGGGAGATGCCTGACTGATTATTTGCAAGTAGATCGCGTAACTACCCGATGTTACAGAGTCGTAACATGAATCCCAACCCAGTTCATTAGATACCACTCACATTCAACATATCAGTATGGAAAGGTTCGGTATAACTTTAGGATAAAACAGGCTTATAAATCTAGGGTTCAAATTTCTTGCTCGTAATAGTAGCTACACGCGTAAACTGCGTGTTCAGAGCTTTGTTCAGAAAAATTGAGCGTTCATGTGAAATAACAGATTACGTAAGTTATATAATATAAAGCGTGTTGAAACAACTGTATAATGTGAGACTGAATAAAAATAAAGTTGTTAATAAATCAGAAATGGTCACGATATAAAAAGTGGTCGTGAAAATCTAGGGTTCAAACCCCATTCCCGCCACCTCACCATGGTCAAAGTATTTGCTTTTTCATGTTCACAGTTTCATTCCAAACAAGACTCTGTGCGAGCAGCCACTGATACATAAAAATATGATATTTTTGCGTCTTAAATTTATTAGACCCTGAGTGAGGTGGTGGGCTTGAACTGGAGATATTCAACTTGCCACCCCAACATTGTCAAGTTCACTTCAACTGGATATATTTGAATGTAATAAAATAACAGACTTGCTGTTCAAAATGAGCGGTAATATGAACAGTGAAATCACATTAAAATAAAATAGTTTCACAACATCGCTCTCATCGGAATCAAAATTAGGGAAAATAAAATCGTCTGAATATTAAAATCTTTCTTCAACAGATGATTTCATGAAAGTCAACTCAAGTTTGTTTATTTCTGTTCTTGCTCAGATTTTCTTTGATTAAGACGAATTTCTTCGCCGTCATGATCGTGTACCCACACCCTCAGTTCCTTTAACAAACAATAAACATTCATAGAAATTTATACAGAATCACAGATATCGGGGATAGGAAATCTAATCAGATGGTTTGAACCATTCTAGATAAAACATCACTTCTATCAATGTTGGAGACGGCAAAGTAAACTCTAAATAACAATCAAATCTGCTGCACTGGATTCATTGTAGGGACTGTTGGTTAGTTACCGCTTGTTAACTGTCTTATAGATTTTCCACTCCGCCGATATAATAATATCCACCCCAATTGTAATATTATGAGTCAATGAGTAAGAAATGTTTTCACGTCATTTTCCCAAATTATCAGTAAATCTACAGGAAAATCACAGTAAACAGTAAACCTGATGTGGGCACGATTTTACAGTGTTAAACAATAATCGATCACGCTTGGCCATGTATGAAATTTGTCTGGTTTACCTTTTACTATTGTTCCATGAAACATGGGCCAAACATGGATTTGCTGAGTTTTCGTCTCACACCAAGAACCAATCACTGAGTCCCCACACATGCATCAATATCATGTTTTGCATCCTTAATGAAACGAGAAACATCTGAAATTGAATGCAAACAATTCTCACCGTTGTTGGAATTGAATCCAATTTCCTCTGAATCATCTCAATATTTTCAGGTTCTACTCTGTAGGCCAGCCGCATCATCTCAGTGATATGAGGCAAGATATCGCAGAATATAACAGCTTTATCATGTGGGAGAGGTGGATCATTCTATAAACAAGGGAGCAATTCTTATATATGGGAACACGAAGGACATCGGTACCGGTGAGGAATTAGATGAGCATGGTCGGAGGACAAAGGTGACCAGGACAGTGAAGCAGGATGGAATGAAAAGTGTTCCCCTTCAATTAAATTAAAACAGCAAAATTTTAAGTAAAATATCGGGCCGCACAGGGCTTGAAGTAAATTGATTACCCTTGTAGAAAAAAATTTCATTTTTTCAAAATGAATCGATTGGTTCATTAGTTGCGGAGAAGCGACTTTCACACAACAAGAATTCAGAAAAACGTTCCATGTTTGCACTCAGTGTAATGAGAATGCCAAATTCCGACTTTCACAATATATATTCTTATTCAATGCATTCAATTTACTAAAATTTAAGAAAATTACGGACGTAGTTTAGATACATTTGGTCAACTACTTGTCTAAAGCCTTGTATAGAGTCTGCATAACATCTGGATTACCGATAGAAAAGACGACCCCACAGATTGAGGAACTCGAGTTCAAGCCCGGGTTAGTCCAACGGTCTTCACGTTTTGTTCTTTGTGAAATTTATGTAACTGCTTATCTAAGGCTTTATTCAGAGTGATATGCCACTTCACACAAACTTTTTTTTCTAAAATTGGGAGGAAAAATCAGAAAAAAGTGTTTATTTAACGTGTTTCGGATCTAATTTGTATAAATTTGGTCAATTATGGAGAATGGAGTTTGCATAACAGCTAGATTACAGGCATAGTGAAGTGGAATGCTTGTCTGGTGTCTTGTTCAGAGTAATATGATAAAGCAATCTTGTTGAAAGAGAAATAACCGAACAAGTAGAATCAACTCACCTTGATTGCTTCCTCTGCAATCCTTATCCGCTAAAACAAAATGAAACTCTGTAAATTAAACAGTGATGGCATTTGTAGTATGGCTCGGGGTAATACTTAAAAAATGATGGAATTAGCAGTCTGACATCTTGAGTTCGAACCCTGGTCAAACCAGTCAGCCCGAACTTATTATACCTTCTAGGATATTTCGAATTAGATCAGATGTCGTCATACTGATAACAGGAACGCCACAATAATCATTTTAGGCTCTGATTACAATAAAAATTGTTATTATTCTACAAGTTTCAATATTTAAGACGTGGCCGGGTTCAAATTCAATAAATTGATTGAAGTTTTTATAAAAAACTTCAAAACTTAAGAATAGGAGTCGACACTTTGTACGGGAAGAAATTCATGCAGTTAATATAAAATGATTTTATACTGGAACTATATTTCAAACAAGTCAACTCACTTCATCATCAGATTCGACAGCAAAAATCTGTAAAGCAAAAGATTAACTTTACAAAGTAGAACTATATATCTGGTTGCAAAGTCAGAATACAAGTAAAATAAATAAAGTTCAACAAATTTTCTGTATTTCTAGCGACCACCCTGTATATTTGCTTATGCATAGATAACACACTGGTTATATGTGGCCAAGAGATCAGAGAACCTGGGCGAGACCTTTGTGCGAAAACCTCGAAAAAGTATAATGGGATTTGACGATATTTTCTGTGATAGTCAGTAGTTGATTTTATCACAAACCGAAAGTACACATTGGATGAACATATGATAAAAAAATGCACTTCAGTGTAAATGGAGACGCAATAGAAAGTAAAAATCGAGAGAAGCAGAATCGATTTTGAACAAAACTAACGCAAAAGAAGATCCTATTCGTAAATGGGCCGATATGTGTTTTCCTTTATTTATAAAACTTGATTCAAATTTATTACAAAGCGATTTTTGAGCAACAGTGGCGTAGCCTGGTCAAAGAAACGTTTCCAAATTGTTAGGAGTAATATGAAGGTAAATTTAAATTCATTAAAAATTTTACTACTTTGCTTAGAAAGACAAAAACGAAGAAATAGAATATCTCGGGAGGCTTGGGGAAAACTGGTGCAGGGAGCGGTTTTTCATCGTTTCGCATAAAACGGTTTGCAACCTTCATTTTTGCTGGGGAGAACCCTTGGTGTAAACCAATAATCACAGGGGCGACAACTTGCTTTTCAAAACTCGACAATTATGCGTAATTTGAACTGAGCACTAGAGGGTCGCAGTCGAGATGATGTAACCAAGCTGGTAACACGCAATAAATACATTTGAATCGATATTTTTTTCGTGGCAAACATCCAATGACTGCGGAAAAGAATCGACATAGCCTAATCTATTACACACTGACCGAGGTAAATGTTCAAAGGATTGGACTCGAGATCAATAACAAATAAATTTAACTGACTCACTTTTTCTTTGGTTACATTCTGAATAGAAAAATAATTTCATTGAGAAATAATTTGAAGCAATAGAGATGAGTAGCTTACATAGCAAGGTATGGAAATAAAAAGTTAATATTGCATTGAAATATCAAGATAAAACGAGAATCACTTTCAATCAACTCACCGGAATTCCAAAACCAGCCTTCTTTATCTGCAAATAAGAATTTCAACATAATGAACTATGAGCATGGTGTGGCATTTGCTTTAGGTAATGGTTACGAAATTGTTAACAGGATGACGCATCGGCTGGTATTTTAACCTGTCTTTACCGCATTATTTACTGAAGTGTGGAAATGGGGAGGTCTGCTTTATTTTATTGTTACATTATGTAGTCCAGTGGTTCTCAACCTTTTTCAGTTCGCGGACCGGTAAAATCCAAAACAAATTTTGCGAACCGGCGGACCTTCAAAATTAACCAAAAAGTCATGAATACAAAACATAGTCGAAAGAATGCAATTACGACAAAATGAGGCGGTGCAAAAGAAGAGATATATATAATCCAATTAATGAGAATTTGCTGCTGTCGTTTCGATATCAATACGTTTTAAACGCGGCTCAAATAAAGTTTCTGCAAGGCGACGTCAAGCGTTGACTTCCACGCGATTTCTCTGTTTGGTCTTGATGAGAGGGAACGTTAAAAAGCTTTTCTCACAAAGGTAAATTGTACAAAAAACCAGCAGTAATTTAATGGCTCTGTCACTGAGCTCGGGATATTCGTTTTCAAGAGCATTCGGGGCATGTTGTAAAAAGTTGAAGTAGCAGTCTCTTCCTATGTCCTGTTCAACACCACCAACTGGGTTTTCATCTCCATTTACTATCCACTTCGCTAAATTATAAGCTACTGTCAATTACGGAAACGTGCCAAACTTTTCAATCAGGTACCGTACTATGTGCTATCAAACTACTTGGTTATGAAGTAAGCCGCTGTTATGAGGCCATAGATTTAACAAACATCCAGCCGTTCAGGGCTTAAATCAGGGTGACGAACCTATTTGCTATCGCAAACCATTTCACCAGTCACCGCTGAGTAAGCGCCCGCACAACTTTTTAGTCATACTACCTGTTAATTTTTTATTAACAAAAACAAACAACTGCATCCATTACGAATATATTGCAGCATAAAATAAAAGGAAACAGTCAATGAATATTATGTTCAGTGACGAATTTTGGAAATTTTTAGCTTTTACTAAGCGCTTATTAAGGTCGAACAGATGCAGAAGATGACTGTGGCAAGTTCTCAATTGCCATACTAAGATTTTCCGTCTGTCAGTCACGGAAGCTGTATCGGGATTAAGTTAGGGATATTTTGTGGCGTCATCTCACTCGGCCGCGATCTCCGCCCGGCTTGAGCGTTCAAGAATCCGGAATTTCCGTTCGAATTACCGCGCATTTTCAGTCCACTTACCGGGGGATCACTGTACAATTCAAAAAAATAAATGTAGTCTTTGATAATTTTATCGCAGATCTAGGGATTTCTATAACGTTGACATTCTAGGAAATAATCTTTAGTGGTAGCATTGCGGTAGAGCGGAAATTGTTTTGCAAGAACAGATCAAATTTGTATGATTCGTAACAATGCAAAAATACGAATCAAAACTAAATATAATCCGGGTAGTTTGAAACACTATTTTATAGCTGTGGATTGTCGTGATATTTCATAATAATGTTCTTATTTTGTCGACGCAACCGCAGGTTATATTGAACACACAAATTCAAACTAATAAAGCAAATTATGAATAGACTCGCATTGGCCGATTGCATACTTTGCGCAAATGCAGAATCATCATGCCTAATTGTGGCGACAGTTTTATAGTAATTTTCGAATTCTTCTCAATCCCCTTCCCCTTTTTGGTAATTTTGACATTGCGCTTAAACGTATTTCAACCTATGTCTCATCGAACCTTCCTTTATGACATTTTGTGTCGAGTTAAGATGCAAAATTCTAGTTAATAATGCTTCAGGGACGTATTTCGGGAACTTTTGTACAAAGCCCCCGCCATAAAAAACACTACAGCCTCCGTTCAGCTAAAATAAAATTAGAAATAATCCAGTAACGGTTTTATAGAGTGAGGGCTAGAAATGTAGATTGCGCCGGAAATTCAAATCTTCCTTCTCATTACGAACATGAACCACAAATGTATATTTACTATCCAGAACGTGGTGTTTTTCTGCTTCGGAAGATCCGCATTTGGCAAGACTTCCAATACAGAAAATGTGAATGAATTCCGCCTGTGACAATTAACCGATTATTGAAACGTGGGCATTTTTTCAAGATCTTCCGTTGTTTTAATCATTGAGCTGAAGTTATAAACTTTTTATTACTTTCAAATATCACGTGTATCGTGCGCCGAAACATTCCTCAAAATAACGTTACCCCTTCTCCGTTAATCTTTGTGCGTTTTCTGATAAGATAGCGTAACTATGCCCAAAAAAATGGTCATTTTGATTCATTGTTAAAGGTATTGACAAAACTAAATGTCAATGATGATCCATTAAAATAGATGTATTGGAAATAGTGTTGCCAGTAATATTAATAATACTGACACTGAATGCTTCGCGGGCCGCACGAAATTCTCTGACATCGACAGTGGACTTCTCATCAAGTTTGGTTGTTAGACAAATACCGGTACTACGATTCAATAGAAGTTAAATAATCACAAAATGAATAGACATGCAGTCAATACTTTGTATTTTGCAATTTGCTTAGAATATATTTATATTGGAATATATTTGGCGGACCGGCAGCAAGGTTGACGCGGACCGGCGGTTGAGAACCACTGATGTAGTCATTAGTAGTATTCGAAATAGGAAAAAACGAAGATTGCAACTGTTTGAATGAAAGCTCATTAATGGTTCACGCATAGTTAGGTTTAATATGCACTTGATCTAGAGAAAACTATTTTTTAAATATTTTCACGGAAATAATTTTGTCAAAATTATGATATTTTTTCGCATAATCACTAATTATCCACAATATCGGTCGATATGGATCGAAGGAGTCGGATATCAGACTACAATTTCGGAGTGAAAGTTTGTTGACAGAATGTTGCATTTGTGGATTAGGGAGTGGTGTTGGAGTCAAAATTTTGGTCAATCTTGATTCGGAATGTCGACTTCAGCGTCTGATTGAAATTTTCTCAATAGCACTACAGGTATGGTTCTGCTAAAATATATGTAAAATTACCAGATATTGCCTGTAATTTAACATTATTGCAACTGTTACAGATTCAATCACACTGACATACCAAGCAACACCTGTCAATTATCATGGACTGTTGTTGGATAGATTTAGTGAAATTAAATTCGATTTCAAACAAATAGTAGGTTTATTCCATCCTGACCTTGATATTCGAATATTGCATTGATGAAGCAAGGAGTTTGAGATCAGATGATGTGACAGAAACACCATACAGCCCGAGGCGATCGAGACGAGAACAATGACCGAGAACAGATGCCAGAGTGAATTTATCACTTGGAGTGAGAGGTATGTAGCCGAAACTAATTTCACGGATGGATGATTCGATGACGTTATCAGCCCCATTTCCACATTCATCGAGTGCATGCATGAGCTCGAGTAGATCTTCTCTCTTCAAGCCAGATTGAATCTGATCATTCAAGCTTGATAACAAGATCGATCGCTTATTCTTCAGATCAATACCTTTGAAGAAAAACGGTGAGGTCAAGGAATTATTCAATGGCTGGTAAAGTTTGGTACATATCAGTTCTCTAACGATTCTGCCAATGGAACGAGAAATGAGTGCCGGATTAATATTAATGGGAACGTCCTCTGTCGAAACCCAAACAGAATTATATGTCACGATCAATAAATTTCAATCGATCAATATGAAAAAACTGGATTTCTTGGGGTCTTAATGGTGAAAATCGGAGGATACATAATTTAAATTTTTTTAAAATAATTTCATCATTTCAACATCATTTCAAAATGTTTTGAAAAAATTAGAAAAATTTATTTCACTAAAACAGTCCATTAAAGATGGCTTACATACCGCAATTATTTATCTGTCGAAGTTTGATTTTTTCATCAGATCCAAGCCGAAGTTTCTATAAACTGGGAGTTTGAGTTGAAAGTTTTGCAATTCGGAGACGATTGTCAATAATTAATATTCCATGGCCATAGATATGGTGGACATGATTTTAGGTTTGGTCAGATCGCATGAATCCTTAATTATCTACCTATATAAACAACTTGTATTCAGCCAGTTAATATTTGAAATGATCGATATGGAATCCAAATTATATTCAGCAAGTTAGGAGGAAAAATAATAGACGACAGAATTTCCTCTCTAACTTCTGTATCTCAGACTATGTAATGGGCAGCGAATACAATTCAGTAATCAAACCCACGATTAGTGATGAATAACAGTTTTCCATCTTATGGTCATTGGGCTAGCGAAAATTGACAAAACACTCATACTTATGGGAAACGTCTGATAACATGCACAAACCACTTCCACTAATGACGAGCTCACCCTGTTTGATAATTCCAACATCAGCTGCTTCTCCCATTGCAATCTTGAATGTCTCGGGATTCAATATAGAGCCGCATACAATTCGACGAATTACGACCCAATGCTTCTTGTGGAGTTCGGTTGAAACAAACTTTTCGAATTCTTTTGTCGGCATTTCAGCAACGTAAAGAGCAGCAAGCGCTTCCTGTTCGACCAAAAGATGGATAAGAAAAAATACCAGAATGAAAAACGGAAATCGAATATATTCCCAAGATCAAACCAGTTTCGCAGCCACCCGATCATCCTTCTGAGTTATCTTTTATGTTTAATTATGTTTGTTTCCTTCAAAGGTCATCGTCATCACACAATTCGATAACTTACACAGATTTAATTCCTATTTTACGGTAATGTATGAGTATTTCGTCTGTGCTATGTCTTTAATGGTTTGTTTGCCATTAACAACGATTCAGCCATCTCAACGCCCCATAGTAACAGTTCTCACGCCTGTGATTATGAAATTCTTGTTATACACAAATATTATTCCAAAGAAGATCCAAGACTGTGCTGGGTAAAGAATGTTGTCAAATAATATTTTATGTCGTCGTATATTTTATTCAGAATTTGTTGCATATATATATCTACAGACGTTTGCTCAAAGCAAGGTCACGAGAATTCACTCAGAAATTAAAAAGTAATGTTCCCTGAGCAAAGTTACAGGCGACACTAAAGTTGGACAGGATTGCATCAATGAGAATGCTGCAGCTATTTCATTTCAGACGCCGGACAGTGACTAATATCTTGTCAGTTCTGTATTGTGCACCGAAATTAGAGCCATTTACAGTAAGTACAAAGCTGTCAATCGATTTTGGGCGAAGGGGTGTTCTGTTATAGTTAGAGAGCCATGCTTTGGTGACGTTATGATATCACTGAAACCGAAAAAACAAAACAGTTTTGAGCGAAGTACCTTTTCAACAAGTCGTGTCATCAACGCAAAATCATTGAATTTCTCGCTTTACGTTAAGTAAGATGGTAAAAGGTATTTACTCGGCCTCGACAAAAACTCTTGCGACAAACTCGTTTAGCCAACAGTTTTGAGCGATTAATACAAGCTTTTCGACAAGTTGAAAGAAGAGATTTATTCGCTTGTCGTCGATGATTCAAGTTATTGACAAGTTTCAAACGAGATGAGAAGAGAAAAATGCAAGTAGTGCAAATCAGACCAAGAAGCAGTTTTAATGAGAAGTCTGGTCGATAATAGGTTGTTCAATCCGACCAAATATATATTGTGTATGTTTCTATCTAATATATATTTCTGAGAATATAATTTAATATTAACTCGGAACCGACAAAAATTATACCGGGCTGAGACTATTACTTTGCTATCAAAATGTGAACCAGTTGAGAAAATATTATTCTGCACTTTTTATTGGAAATTAACGATCTGGTGCGTGCGAACCTGGTTTGAATTCAGGGCAAATAAGAAAGTAACTTTACTAAACTCGGAATTGAAATTTTTTATCAAGCCGGAACAAGTCAAACCATATGTTACATGAGTTTTTCTACTTCCAAGATACAATGCCCTAAAGCCATGCCTTAGTTTACGAACCTGAATGGACTGGTGGATGAAAAAGAATACAAAGTTCCTTTCGAAGAGCCGTTGGTTGATTCCAATTGATCTTGGTATTGGTATCATGATATCTTTCAAGTGATCAATGGAGATTTCTTCCGGCAAATCTGATTTGGCGAAAGTAACTTTCTTGTTCCTCATTCCGTCAAAAGACATTTTCTTCAAGCTGTTGAACACTTCGTAAATGGATACATCCTCTCTTCCACCTGCTCTCATATGCTCTGAATTCATGGTATTCAGCAAGACGAGAAGCAGGATGTCGGTCATTTTCTTGGGATTGAGGATTCTGTACAGTATCAGCACAGTTACTGTAAGAACGAGAAACATCGGAATAGAGCAAAGAGAAAGTAAGCCGCGTGCTTCTTTTTTGAGACGATTCATGACATATTCGCCATGCTCTCCGCTAAATGCGTAAATGAGCTTTTCCACACTTTCTTCATCGAAACCTGCTAAAGCAATGACTCTCTCAGGGCGAACTTCTCCTTCGAAGAAACGTAAAACGTGTTCACGTGATGAGTAGAGAAGCTTGATGCCGGGTAAAAGCTTTTGAGCGAGGATGAGATTTATAAGAAGCTTGGGATCTGCTTTATCATAGTGATTGGCGTTACCGCGTAATTTGCCAAGATCTTGAGGGGAAGCGTATTGATCAGCTCCATCAATTACGAGAAGAAACTTTTCGGGATGCAATATGATCCATCCTACACCATGATCTCGGACATCTTCATCCAAATCTGTATCTCCAAATAATAATTTCCCGAGACTGACCTCCTTCTTAGATAGAAGATCTCGAAAGTTAATGTGACGAACAACCTCGACTCCTCTAAGCTCTGGTATCTTTTGATCAAGCACATCAACGGAGAAACTTTTAGACATTTCGGTTTTGCCATATCCGGCTCCCCCGACTAGAGCAACTCTCGATTTGCCATCCGAAAAAATAGCTTTCCATGGATATTTCTTTGCCAGGTTGCTTCTGAGTGTGCTGGCTGAAACCAAGCTCTGGCTTATATTCAGCATCCTCGGCAGCGCTTCCATAGAAATCTACATCCACTGTACGAGGCTGAATCTTGATTTTCGGAGTTGTAAGACATCCGATAGTTGAAGCTGGCTGTGCATTTTTCCTCGTTAAATCGTTGATTTCTTTCTTGAATATCTGAAACTTTTCTACAACGTAGATGCAAAAAATAGATTTAACGTTCGCCTTATTTCGTATATTGCACACTCATAAAAATGAACACTTATGACACTTTTACTACTGTTGCACTATTTTTCAGATCTACCCCATTATATTGATCGCTAGATGGAGTAGATGAAAACAAACATCTTTTGAAATATCGAGAAATATTGCACAAATTTTTTTATTTTTCAACAATATATCTTATGCAATAAAAAATGTTATATTACGTCTGAACATTCATTTACTTTAAACGATAAAGAGTTCACTTCAATTTTTTTCAATATAAAGATATTTGGATTTGAGACTTCTTCCAATGAATAAATTCAAACAGCAATGGATAGAATGTATATCAGTCTCTTATCATTGAAATATGTTATGCTGGATCGCATCATCCTCATGGCTTTGTAGCTCTGTTCCTGTGTTGTATATCAGTTCTCTCCAACCAGACATTCTCCATTTATACAATGGTATATAGAAAACACCAAGAGTTCAATTGAACCAAATTTTTCCATTACAACATTAAATTTCTCCAGCAACCTGAAACTCAGTCCAAGATTTTGACAGTATTCAACTTTGACTTTTGTCATTTAGGACTTCGAGCAAACCATCAGAAACAAATAACACTGACTGAAGTTAAATTAGATTTTTGCATTTCCCAAAAAGCCGATGGGAATAAAATCATCAAGCAATGTTGAGAATATGCTGATGAACTCAGTTTATCTTTCTGTGGCAATTTGTGTCCTTTGTAAGTTACTGCAAATTCGTGTTCAAGTTTACAACATATATTCGCTTTATTTTATATATCATGTAATTGTGCAGCGCATTTGTAGTTGTGTCTGTTCTTTCTTCATTCATATACATTATTCTGTTTGAACGTAGCAATCCCAAATTGCATATTTGAGATAATATGGTGCATGTCGATGAACTGTGCGACTTAGGTAAACAAGGTCTTGTGAATATTTTATTTATTTTTTTTTAATTCAAAGATTCTTACACATATTGAGGCAAATAAACACACGTCGATCGTTTAGCTTTTGCAACAGGAGATCCAATACTCATTTGCGACCTGTAACCAAAACGTGACAAAGTTCTTCGATTTTCTGATTACCTGCACGTGCCTATCAGAACTGGCCCAGTAGCCAACTAAGCGTTTAAGCACGCATCATTTGCCGATGTATTGAATAAATCTTCAGATCCCCACTCTTGGCTACAAAGTGAAGAGTGATCTTGTAAAGCTCAAGTAATTCTGTTCAAAATCTAATTTGCCAAAGAGTTGATTGGCGAAAGTCAGATGCGATAACGTCGTAGTTTGCAATCTCTTATCAGCACCGTTTTTGAAGGGACATATAATTTAAAGAATGAATAAATGAAATATTTTGATTAGACCACTTTTTTCCGATGAGCTGTGAACTGACGTAATGGTAACCTACTACCAGCTCTATTGACATGATTATTATCAATTTGGTTTGTACTTTAGTCAACTTTGGCTTAAAGTCAAGTCAGGCATTATAAAACAAATTTCCAAAATTATCTTAGGTGTTTCTCATATCAAGTCGCTTTCAATGACTGATATTGTTTTAATAAACTGACTCGAGTAATAAAAAAAAAACATATTCTCTTGCCACAAAATACGCGAGTATATTTGTGAGCTTGCGTTATATCGTAGTTCAACTTGTTCATGAACTTAAAAATGATTTGACCTAATCAAACAGCAACCTTTAATATTATCTCGCATTCTTGTGACATATATGAATTCAAAGTTCTTTTTTTCCTTTTATTAAAGTTATCGCGTGGAGGCATTCACGGGACGAGTTTTCAAAACTGTCCTCTCGCTCGTTTTATAACCTTCCGATGTCGCGAAAGGCTCTATATTATGCAGTTGGATACGAAACTACAAAACGAGGTCGGAGTTGCTTGGCTTTATGGTTACCACGCATCGCCATATTTTAGACAAATTTTTAAACTTGTAACAACTGATTCGCTGCATCAATACTAAATTTTCGAAAATGATATCTTTAAGCAATACAAACATATCAGTCGAAAAAAAATTAACTTTATGTTGACAATGTAACCATAGGTATACTATCGTGTCTCCCTGAAGCTATATGTAAATTTTGAATTTTGTGTGCGAATATTTGGTGAAAAAATATAAGTAACCCTGTTAAAGTGTCTGCTCAAAGATATATGCAATTATAAATTTTGCGTGCGAAGCTTTGATGAAAATATTTGAGTAGCCCCGTTATAGTGTCTCTTTAAAAATATATGTAAATCATATATAGTTGTGTGCGAAGATTTGGTGAAAATAGTTGAGTAGCCCTGTTATAGTGTCTCTTTAAAAATATATGTAAATCATATATAGTTGTGTGCGAAGATTTGGTGAAAATAGTTAAGTAGCCCAGTTATCATTTCTCCCTAAAGATATATGTAAATCTTTAATTTTGTGTGCGAACATTTGGTGAAAATATCTAAGTAGCCCTGTTATAGTGTCTCCCTAAAGATATATGTAAATTATATATAGTTGTGTGTGAAGATTTAGTGAAAATAGTTGAGTAGTTCTGTTATAGTGTCTCTCATAAAGATATATTTAAAATTTTTAATTTTGTGTGCAAACCTTTGGTGAAAATAGTTAAGTAGCCCTGTTATAGTGTCTCCCTAAAGATATATGTAAATCATATATAGTTGTGTGAGAAAATTTAGTGAAAATAGTTGAGTAGCCCCGTTATAGTGTCTCTTTAACGATATATGTAAATCTTAAATTTTGTGTGCCACCCTTTCATGATATGGTTAATTAGCCCTGTTATCATGTCTCCCTAAAGATATTTGTAAATCTTACATTTCGTGTGCAAACCTTTGGTGAAAATAGTTGAGTAGCCCTGTTATAGTGTCTCCCTAAAGATATATTCTGTCACCCTATTAGCAAGCCTCACAATATTTTAACAAATTATCAATTTAAACATACCATCGTCTTCACCCAAACCTACAGCAGCTTTTATAGCACCCGGTGCATCTGTTCGTTTTTGTTGAGCAGAATCTTGATTAACCACAGGACCATAGTAGTTCGCTGCGAAGAAATTGAAATATTTCATGCATTGTACAACCACGATAAATATAGCACGATTAACGAGTTTTATGATTCTATATTTTTGTATTTTAACCTGGAACCTGCTCCAAAAACTAAATTGGCGATTTTTAGTCGTTTTTTGTTACAGGATAAAACATATTTTCTCAATTATTTCTCTAAAGCTGGACTTGAGTATTGAAATTAAAAACCAGGTCTTTATCCCCGACTATCAACTGATTTAATTAGTGCAAGTTTTCGGAGTCATTGTCTAAACCAGGGGTATGTAACATTTATTAGAAGATTAAAACAAATGAAAAATTTTATTCGCAGACCGCAATCAAAATCGGCACAATTTTCTTTGTTTGTCGCAGGTTTCAACCCCCTGGTCTAAACTCATTAATGCAGTTTTCATACAACTCGAGTCAATGAAATTTATCTCCAATTGGACCTAATCCTCTGAGTCGGTGGAATTTCTCACCGATTACACCCTGTGATCTTGCAAAGACTTTTTTTGTCAAAATCCCTCAATTCAGTTTTAATAGAAAAAACAAAACACTTACTTATGTTTGTGTCGCAATATGTTGATCCCCAAAGTGAGCTCGATCAAACTTCCCTTTTGGAAATGAAACTGAAAGAAACGGTTGTATAAGTATTGAATTATCTGGAATAACTGGCAAAATTCAAGTTTTTACATTGCTTGTGAGCGCATATTTAAACATACCTGTTAGATTAGGTTTTTTTGTTTGATGGGAAAATATTTAAATGTTGACGAGGGCCACTCTAAAATGTTATCGAGCCCCGCGAGCCACCTGTTGCACTCCTCCACTCTAGAGTAGGGAAAGCCGCTTTTCAATTAACAATGATATCATAAACTTTATCGATTTATTATGCTGTAATAATAGATTTCCAAGTTCCAAACTGCATGACGAAGACCCAAGGCTTCAAGTACGTTGACTAATGGTCACAGGCGTGTCTAACTTTTGTGTTGCCAGAAACTGGTTTCTGAAGATAGTGCCCTTCATACCTTTACCTTTTCATAACTTTAATTTAGTAGATTATACATGACAATAAATAAATTAAAGGTCATGTAAGAGTGAAAAATTTGTATTTAAATCAGGGGTGTGCAACCATTATTACAGGAGGGCCAAATACAAGTAACTAGGTGAATCCATTAGCCAAATCTCTATATAAGATAGCCTTTCTAGTAGATGAATCCACAAAAATTGTTTTTTGTTCTTACAGTATTGTTTGAGAGGGAGTGAGAAATTGTGAGTGAAAACACATAATTTCTTAAGAAAACTACTAGTTAAATATATTAATAAGACAGTGACCCTCGGGTACTGTTTTAGGCTTTTCCATGCAAAAGTATTGGAATTGCTCGCACATACTAGATTAACTAAACTAAAAACTGTTTCGCGGGCACACCATTAACAGTTGGCACTTCTCCAAGGGCCGCACAATTATTTCTTAAGGGCCGGAGTCTGCACACCCCTGCTTTAAAAAATAAGTCGCGTCACCTGATACAGGCTTTCCTGCTCCTTGAGATCCAAGTACAGCTGAAACTTCGGAACTGATTTGAACTGTAAAAAAGAAATCAAAGCAGGCGTTGAGGTGGGTCCACTGACACAAGGTAATTTTAGAAAAGCAAAGCAGTTTGAAAACTTACTGCAACTCATTGTGTGTGCAGTCAACATGTTCAGTAGATGGATGGATTGGGACCATATACTCATCCCTATTCCTAACCTGCTGTCTATATGACAGCCCAATAGCCCTGTATGAAGGAGGCCATTCAAATGGTAATTGGGACCATATACTCATCCCTATTCCTAACCTGCCGTCTATATGGCAGCCAAATAACCCTCCTATGGAGTAAACCAGGTTTCTAGGATTCTGTTTCCAGGAAGATCAAGCCATAAATTGATTATTCCGACTTCGAATAAAAAATCTCTGATAATTTTAGCATTTGCAAGCTTTTTTTGCGTTCGTTCAAGTCCATGCATTTAAAACATAATTGGCTAACTAATCTCATACCCGACATGGACTGGTAGGTGGGCTGTGGTTTGTCATATGATTAAGCCGTCGCACATACTTTTCTATCCTTGGATAAATATGTCAATCCTATCCCTATTTACAAAAATACTTGCAGAAATTTTACTCACTAGCTCCACCTGGTGCAATGCTCCTTCAGACTCATCAGAGTGGAACGGTTGAGCCTTAGATGACGCTTCCCCTTCTTCTGCGAATCTTTCAGCTAAAGAATAAAATCAAAGAAGAAATTAGAATACTTCACAGAAGCCTGCTGACTTTCCTCTCCAGGGTAATCTACCACCATGTTACAATTCAACCCACAGAGTACGAGACATGGAAATCTTATACTTATTCTTATACATATATCACAAGCGTCAGAGGGCGCTAGAGTTGCACAAAATTCGGTATGAGTACCAGGGTAAATATGGACATAAGTTTATTCCGATTTTCCTTATTTTTAGTTCTATTATGAGTTCGTGGACTGTCTTTGTTGACCAAGTAAATACCCCACTGCCCATAGGTTTCAGTAGCTTTAGACAACTTGATGTAAAATAGGCGGACAAAATTAGTTACCTCCATATTGGTACACATACTTCTGGAGAGCCTACACAGAGTCAGAGTACGAGACTTATCTATGTTCCCTAGTTCTAGTCCCTGATCTATTGAGCCTTCAGCCAATCCATGGGATTCTTATACTTGGTGAGCGTTAATTGTATTTACTAACTTCCAATTCACGATTCTAATTATTGACATTTTTAGTTGCTTTTGTCACCTTAGTGGCTGCCCATAACAAACAATTGTTTTACGAGGGAGACTAATTAGGTGGCGATGTGGATCATATTGCAAATTTTACACCTGTCTTGAAGTGTCTTGTATGGAAATTTAAAGTATAGTGTCGAACAGTGCCAGTAGTTATTGGCCCTCAGTAGCCGCCCATAACTTCGTTAGGAGCAGAATATCTTTTGCTTCAGAGTGAGGCTAGAACAGCATGACCTTGTTTTAAGCAAATTTTCTTACAATTGAAACAAAGTTGAGCAGAAATCTTTTCCAACACTCACCAGGTTCCTGATTTACTCGTCTTGGATCAGCCTGAGATGATTCAAAGTCAGGTCTGAGTGGCTCAGCATCAGGTTTGAGTTGTTCAGCATCAGGTCTGAGTGGTTGAACATCAGGTTTGAGTGGTTCAACGTCACCCGCTCTCTCCTCATCTACAGGAGGTTTCATTGGACGAGGATGCAGAGGAGGGTGATCTGTATAGAAAGTATGAAGCAGGATGAAATTTTATTCATATCTTACAGAGACTCTGTAGAGAGGGCAAAGGCTCTGTGGTAAGATGCGTTTTTTCTAGAGACGAAGCAACAGTATCTAGAGACAATTCAAGCCTTTTTAAAGGAGTTTTGATCAAATTGTGTTTTTTCCAGCAGTATTGAGGGGAACTTATAAGCGAAAATCAAATTTCATTTCAGGGCAAAGTGCCCGCCTGAATCTTTTGGTTGTTAAAATCACTCGGTTGCTAAACTGCTGTATTGATTCTTTACCAGTTTTCACTATTACCTCACTTTTTTGTGAAAACAATGGAAAAGCTACTGTTATCTTATGGCATTGTTAGGGGTTCTTGCAGAAATTTCTACATAAAACTGTTATTTCAATTTATTGCCAATATGACAATCGCCCTTAGGTACTGTTATAGGCTTTGTGATGCAAAGGTATTGGAATTGCTCGCACATACAAGATTAACTAAACTAAAAACTTGTTTTACAGCCACCCCATAAACAATTGGCACTTCTCCGAGGGCCACACAATTTTTTCATGAGGGCCGCATTTGGCCCATGGGCCACAGTTTGCAAACCCATACTTTAAATAATTAGTCACGTCACCTGGTACAGTCTTCCCTGCTCCTTGAGATCCAAGTACATTGGAAGGAGCTTGAACTTCAGAACTGCTTTGACCTGGAAGATAGAAATAAAAGTAGGCGTTGAGGTGGATCGACTGACACAAGGTAATTATAAAATAGTAAAGCAGATTTACTACTGTCCATATTTCAGCCCAACAACCAAGTTCCACCGTTGTTGATTTGCAAGTCTAGCCCCAGCTTTCCAAATTATACAATTCCGACATAAAACTCCTTTAAAAAACACATCAAATTGTTCATATTTTTGCTCAGAAAATAAATTTGTGTCCTGATTCCAGTCCATGCATCCTAAACATAACTGGGTAAATTAATCCCATACCGACATGAACTGGCCAGTTGCCTGTGGTTTGCCATATGATTAAGCCGTCGCACATACTTTTCCATCTTGGATAAATATGTTAATCCTATCCTTATTTACAAAAATACTAGCAGAAATGTTACTCACTAGCTCCACCTAGTGCCGATGCTCCTTCAAACTCATCAGAGTGGAACGGCTGAGCCTTAGATGACGCTTCCCTTCTTCTGCGACTCGTTCAGCTGAAGAAAGAAATTACAGGAGATCTTGAAATACTTCATACGACAGCCATCTTATCGACTTTCTCTCCCAGGGTAATCTGCCAATTCTACCACCAAGTTACGATTCCTCAGCCAATCCATGGGAATCTTGTACATGGGTGAGCGTTAATCGTATTACTAACTTACAATTCATCATTCTGATTATTCAGTTTTAGTAGCTTTTGGCATCTCAGTGGCTGCCCCATAACAAACAATTTTTTACAGGGGAGGCTTCTCAGATGGCGATGTAAATCCTATAGCCAATACACCTCACTTGGAACGTCTAGTCCAGTGGTTCTCAACCATTTTCCTTTGTTGCCCACTCTTGTTGCACAACATTATTCTGTGGCTCATAAACTTTTTCATGCAAAGGAAAATCCAAAAAAAATTACTTGCTCTTTTTGCAAAGTTACGTTTCCACTTTAATAATTAGCAAAAGCAAAACAGCATCATCCATAAACTTCTACTGCTATCCAAGTTTAACTAATTTATCAATTTTAATAGTTTTTTGTGGCCCACCTGAAAATATTTCTGTGGCCCAAAGTGGGCCATGGCCCTCTGGTTGCGAACCAATCCTACGCCTAACTTGAAGAGTCTTGTATGGAAATTTAAAAATTGTGTCGAACAGTGTCAGTAGCTATAGGCCCTCAGTGGCTGCCCATAATTTTGCTAGGAGAGAATATATTTTGCTTTGGAGTGAGTGTAGAACAGGGGTGGGGAAGGTTTTTGGATCAAGGGCCAAAAATATTGCCCACCTAGACTGACGGGCCATGTAAGTGTGACGCAAAACGTAATATTTTATGGGCATGGAGTATTACAGAAGCATGAAAATGGAAAACAATTAGTCCCGCGCCAAAACTAAATTTAATCGCAATATCAACAAATTCCTTGAGGTATTTTTACCTAAAACATCAAAATTTGGTTTTAGTTTGGTTGTGGGCAGCATCAGGCGGGCCAGATTGATTTATCCAACGGGCCGTAGTTTGCCCATCTCTGGTCTAGAACGACATGACCTAGTTTTGGAGCATATTTTCTTACAATGGAAACAAAATTGAGCAGAAGTCTCTTTAAACACTCACCAGGTTCCTGCCTTACTGGTCTTGGATCAGCCTGAGATGGTTCAGCATCAGGTCTGAGTGGTTCAGCGTCACCCGCTCTCTCCTCAGCTACAGGAAGTTCCATTGGACGAGGATGCAGTGGAGGCCTGATCTGTATGGAAAGTGGGAAATCAGGATGACGAAGTGCCCGCCTGAAACCTTTGGTTGTTAAAATCACTCATTAACAAGGATTGATATATTTCTGTATTGACTGTCTAGCAGTGTTCAATATTTAAAATTGTTTAATCAAAAACTATGGCACCTAATTTTCGCACTCTTTGTTTCAATGCGAAACACCTTCGCAGTCATAATTTCACTAGAGTGAACACTGCAGGTATTTCTGATATTAAGAGTTTTGTCTAAATCAGTAATTTAATGTCTGGTGTTAAAATCTGTCTGTCAGATTTAAAAATTCCATGAAATTGGAACAATTATCTGGTGAGCTATGTTAATCCTCAATCTCGGCTGTAACTGGACAAGTGAGAGCAGTGAGGTTTACTACTGCATTGATTATAAGTCTTCTACCTTGCTAGAATGAAGTTTCTTTCACAAGTGCGACTTGAGCTGAGCCATCAACCCCAGATAACTTGTAAATCTGGCATCCACAATCAGGTTGCCATAACAACAGATGTCAGTGGAACTCTATTTGAGTAACAATTTACCTGGGTGGGATTCTCCTCTTTCATCCAGGAAAGCATTTACCAGTTGCCAGATTTTTTCAGTTGTTGCTGAATCTCCTGTGTTATTAAAATAGAAAATGATGAATCTGCTATTATGAATGAATCTTGCTATTAAACTTTTGGCGCTCCAGAAGTAGTGTGTACCAATATGGCGGTAACTAATTCTGTTCGCCTACTTTGCATCAAGTTGTTGTCATCAAAAGGACTGAAACCTATAGCCAGACAAATATTTAAACAAGAATGCAAGGGCGTGTCAAACTTCTCTGCTGCCCAGGACGAATAATTCACTTTTTCGAATACATTCGAAATTATTATTTTCAAATATGAAATTTCGAATACTTTGAAAATAAATTCAAGTAAAATAAGCTTATCTCGGTGTATGTCGGGATTTGCATACAATAAACAATGGGATAACTGTTACCTACAAGCTGGCTACCAGAAAATTTATATTTTTAAATATAATTGATATTTTAATATCAATAATTGTATATAAGGGATATTTTAAAGTTGTATGCCTTTTTTTAAGTACGAGAGTGCGAATCAAAATTAATTATAAAATGACAGTTAACCATACATTTTATGTTCACAGATTGCCGCCGTATCTTAGAGTAGTTATGCATCAATTTATTAATAAAGTTGACGTAACTATGAGTTACGTTAAACACAGTTAAATTAATACAAAAAGTCATTTTAAATGCTCTTATTGTTTACGAATTAATTTTCCTTGAGGGCCGCATTTGGCCCCCGAACAACAGGTTAGACACCCCTGATTTAAATTATCAAACTAAGCAACAAACTAATCTCTATGAAATGCGATTAATACACCACCATGAAATTTCTATGTCAGTTTTCTCAAGTCGAACAATAAGACACAACAAATATCAAAGCTTTACCAGTTTTCAATTTCCACAAAACGAGCAAATCCAGATTCCTCTCTTCCACATTTCTTGCATTTTCTTTTATGTTTCCAACCTCGTGCATACTGAGCGATAAACCTTTCCCAGACAATGCAAATCTTTGGAACAGTGCAGCGTTGTCGAAGACTTTAGGAACTGCTAGGAAAGCATCCTCGATTCTTGAACCTGATAAGAAACTGAATCAATTACATTTGCATATGGAGGTAATTATTTGAGTGACGCAGCGGTTAAATGCTATAGGTCAATGTTTTATTGAGTGTTGTTGGAAAAACCCAGCATTTTGAGGTTGAAACAAAAAAAATAACCTTCGAAAGTTTTCATATTTCCTGAAGAGGAAAACCAATAAAACAAATTATATCTAGCATATATTCAGTACAAACAAGAATTTTGAGGGAAGCAATACCAGAGCAGACATGGAGACACAATGATAAAAACAAATGGCACATACGATATGAGCATACATGAAATATAATGTCAATCTAAAAAAGAGGGCGATGCCCAAATACGCGGACATGAAAGCCGAAACATAGTAGTATGGGTATGGAGTGTGCGATGACCACTTCGCACACAGAAAAAACCAATTCATTCAGCTCCAATAACTTTTTTAAAGTAAATCAAGTTATGGCAATACTCCAATCGCAAAAAATAAAATCTTTAACCGCTGAAAATTTATAACAATTGGACCGTCGTTATTAGTTTTTGTTTTGTAGAAAAAGAAGAAGAATGAGAAAAAGGATTTCTACAACAACAACATGATAACAAAACTCTTGTCCAATAATGAATAAAAAGTGTCGATTTAACAACATTCCTGTTGTTCTGCGGAGTGAGCCAAACCTGATAAAATGCTGAAGTGCCGCTTGCACATTTTTTAAAGGATGATACTAAGTGATGACCCCCCCCCCCCCATAACTTACCAGTGACACCACCTCTCTCTTGCCTGAAATATTGCTGGATAATCTCTGCTATATGAGTCGGTGATGCCCTCGTTCCTGTAAAACAAAGAAGTTGGAAGTTGTTGAAAGGTGCTTAGTCTCTAGTTATAGTTATAGCCTCTATAAAAAGGAAAGGTATTTTGTGAATAAAAAAACTATCTTTAAAAGAGACAACTTCCTTGCTGTTTAAAAACAATTTTGTTGAATGAGAACCAACCATTTTTTTCTTTCCAAAGATCAAGCATTCCAAACTTTTTATCTTCAACAGAATCAGGATTGTCTGCAATGATTGTTGAAACTTCTCCAGCAGTGAGCCTGAGACCATTTCCAGATAAAGCAAACATTTTGAAATGAATGAACGACGTGAATTTTCTTGCAATGTCAGCGAAAACATCTTCAATTCTGATGTCGCCTAAAACAATGAAATTGAGTTGAAAATGGGGAAAAAGATTTTCAAGTATCAATATCAAGGTCAGGTTTTATTTTTACAAAAATATGACCATCACTTGGTTGGGTGGCGCATCATGCCACCGCAACGTGGTTACGTAACTGCTGGTCGATTATGGGTTCCCCGTCATCAAGTCAATTCCTCTGGAAACAATATAACTGGCTAACTAAACTCATACCCGACATAGGGTGGCTCGCTATTTAAGCCATACTATCGAATTTTCCACGATAAATATGTAAATCTCATCCATTTACTGTAAAAGAGAAGCCATTGGGAAACAAGGCTGGTTCGAGAGTGATGATCGGAAAGTGTAAAGATGATCGGGCATCTAATCAAGTTTCGTAATTTCTAATACTGCCTCTTGTGGTTTTGGTAAATTATCCAACTAGCATCGCTTCTTAAGGAATGTATTAAAGAGCCACTAGGCCTCTACTAGATGGATTATGTATTCTCCATTTCAATTGGCTTGCTCGAAGCAAAAGTGCGTTTGTTGTACTATCGGTTCGGCTAATTTTGCAAGTGACCTAGACATCCACTTGATTACAGTGGTGAAGTGTTGGGCAATGAGCGGTGCTAGAAAAAATCAGGTGCAATAATTCAGATGAATTAGGTCTTAAAATAGATAATAGTGGCATTTGATTACTACTTATATACGGCAACGTTCCTGTACAGGTTATATAAAATCCATTTAGGAAGAATCCATGAACGAGTTAAAGTTTGGTTTTGAACGGATTTACGGTTTTTGAGACAAGAATTAGAACATCATGTTACAAACAAAGCTGGGCCAAACTAATTTCGGCGCCCAGAAGTATGTGCACCAATATGACGGACACCTGAACAGAGTATGTGTACCATGTTATGGTTGAGCCATAATTCTATTTCAATTTTTCTTATTTTAGTACTATTACAACTTCGAGGACTAGTCAAGAGACTCCCTCCCGTAGTATTTGTACCTGAAATTATGTCCTAACCCTAACCTGGTCCCATACTACATTCTGGTGTCCGCGTCTTAGTTCACATACCACTGGAGCACCATGATTTCAATGGATATCGGGTTTCAATTTCTACTTGAGACTGTGTATGTGCATGCATAGTACAAAATTCGTACCTGCGAACTCAGACTGGGTAATCAGAGGTGTCAGAAAACATGACAGTTCCCATAATCTCACTGGTAGTTGTATTTAGGTGGCGCTAAAGAGTTGCTTACACCCCAAATTACTGTAATATTTTCGGGTTTGGTTTTCCGGTGTTTAGGAAATTCAAGATTTAGCATTAGATAGCTCAGAAATTGATCCAATAAATGTTTGGGGTACATGGGCCTGGTAAATAACAGGTTATAAGAAAAGTTGGCTAATTCATAGTGAAAGTTTATGAAGTTGGCTCAGAAGTTAGCAAATTGTGTTGGAAATATGTTCCCAATCCCACTTTTAATCAACAAGTGCAATTTTGCAAATTTGAACCCCGGGATAATTATGTCGAGTGGAGTATTGGGTATTGTGTCTTTGTAGGATGATTCACGTAAGCGCTGGTCGGTTTTTCCACTATCCAAGTCCACAAATCCGAAACAAGTAGCTTCCCATACCTTCCCATACATAATATTCCCATACCTGAAATGAACTGCTAACCGAATAAGAGGCCATGGCTGCCTTGCTGAGGTTATATAAGGACAGACATATATAGCTCGTCTAGTCAGAATGAAATGGCTCAGATTCGAAATACAATTTCTCGAGCCAGAATTGTTTTGTTAGGAGCCACATTTGAATATATATTAGAGTAGAATAAGCCTCATTCCTGATTGGGTACGAAAGCATTTAAAATTGTTTGGAAAATTTTATTTTATAATAAAATGTTTTCCAGAATAACTTTATTTATCTGCAGAAATTCATTTGCTGAGAAATGTTACTCACTAGCTCCATCTGGTGCCGATGCTCCTCGAGACTCATTTGAATCAGTGTCGAACGGCTGAGCCTTAGTTGGCCTTTCCCCTCCTTCTTCAGATCGTTCAGCTAAAGAAAGAAACCAGACAATAGATTAATTCGCTTCTCGGAGATTATGCTTGGTTCGGACAACGCAAAACCAAAATCTAATATATTAATATCGCCTCAGAACAAAGTTGCTAATTACTAAAAATAATCTAAGGGACCGTTTGCTGAGTATGTAGTTTTCGCTTCGTGCATTAGAAACGATTCATTGTAGCAATATCTCATTTTTGACAGAAATTCAATTGATTAGAAGAGAATGATGACAGTTATGTGATCTCGGATTAAGTCTATGAAACGGCACTAAATTGATAATATTATTGAGCCAAGTATTGAATTGCAAAAATACTAAAGAGTTTTGTTCAATTTCAGATGACTATTTATCGGGTTGGCCAGAATTCGAGTTTTGCATTTTGGTGATATTTGCTTTGGTGCTACAGTTGTACAGGGAGACCAGACCAAGTGTAGACAAATGTTGATTAAAATATCTACAATACAAATGTACGTGATTAAAAAACATTTTGCAGAAAATAGCAATATAATTATAAATAATGTAATTCATTGTTATTTTCAGATATATCCCTCTTTGGCTTCACTCCCGCCTTAATCTGTCTGGAACTTGAATGCACGGGCCACGTATGATTTATCCTGATCTGGACCGGACTGGTCAGTTTCAAAACACAAGTGAAAAGAATGCACAACCTTTCAGAATTTGTTACCAACCCATCAATTCAACAGAACTACAACTAACAAACAATATTTTTTGCTATTCTCATGAGTCATTTAATGTTTAACTGAATCGAATCTCACATGGTATTAACTTGCCATTAAAGATTATGCAACCCTTGTCCAAGGCTCTAAGACTGTCTTGAAAATACCATATGAAAAGGGACTAGGTAACCACACGTAGGCCAGAGGGTTAGGAAAATATTCAATCTCCAAGTGCCAGCCGCTGTGGGAAAATGTGTAGAGTATGTCCAGCTAAAAAGTTATTGTTTTCAATAATCATGTTAACTTTTAAGGGCTCAGTATTTAATTAATTGGCAAAATTTGAACTCGGTTCCACCAATAGGGTTTCGCCAATAGAATTACTAGCCTTTTAAACATGGCTGTAGTGGCATAATGAGTTCAACTAGGCACTATACTACCCGGAATGCCTAAAGTGGAGAAAATTGTTACCCTTCATCTGGATTGGAAGAAAGATACTTTGGCTTCGAATCCCAACTCAAAAAAAATAAAGGCTATTGTAAAGTTTTATTTTTTACTTCAAACTCGCACTTTTAAAAATTACCTTCAAAATGAACTACGAAGAGTTTGAAAATTTAAATTTGATGCCGCAACATTGGACAAAACACTCAACATTTCACCAATTATTAGTTTTATTTCAAAAGCATTATAAGCAATTTCCAAGACAAATATATTACCTTTGCCAACTTTAGACGCCTTCTGCACTTTAGTCTTCTGATCCAATGATGAAGCATCCGGTTCCCGATGACTCTCTGATGCTCCAGATACATTGGATTCGGGTTTTTCTATTAATTGAGATGATTCTGGGAGAACAAGGTTTGGATATCATTATGAAGGGTTGTAGAAACTAAGTCTATGACTGGTAACCAAATAAGATTCCTCCGCCGGTTTTGAGCATTCATGGCCCCCTGTTTGTTATTGGAGTAGTAGTTTATATTGATATTCTTATTGGTAAATTCCAATCCCTATAGGTTTAGCCAATTTATGCTCAATAAGGTGGAAACATCCTGCGAAATAGCCTTATCAGGCAATGAAACTGGTAAGAACGGGTCACAGAAAAAAATTAAATCTGTTTTATGTCTAGCATTGCGACCCACTTGCAACTGTCCTGTTGCCCTCTTGGAGAGTTATTGGCCCCCGGTTGGGAACCACTGATATAAGTCGTATTTTTTATTTAGGTCAGATTATTAGCTGGGTAGCCTGGCAATGTTTAGACATTTAGTTTATTTTGGAATACATAAATGGAAGTTGCAAATGGCGCGGGTGGAAATGTCCAGGAAAGCAATTATTTGTGGCTGAAGTTTTCCACGAGTAGAAATAGAGTAGGATGAGTGAAATTACATTATAATGATGGGAAAATATATCGGTATGTTGATCAATCAGGAACATCATGTTTTTGTAAATGTTTTTCAGAATAACTCGATTCATTTGCAAAAAATCACTGAGAAATGTTACTCACTAGCTCCATCTGGTGTCGATGCTGGTCCAGACTCATCAGAGTGGAACGGCTGAGCCTTAGATGTCACCTCTGCTTCTTCTATAGATTGTTCAGCTAAGAAAAAAATCAAACAATAATTTTAAATCACTTATCGGACATTATGCTTGGTTCGGACACACCTCATCAAAATCTGATATATTAATTTATCGTTACATAGCAAAGATATTCTAGGTGACTGTTAACAGAGCACACAGTTGCCGCTTCATGCATTCAAAACAACTCATTGTAGCAATTTTTCATTTTCGTACGAAGATTAAAATTTTTCATTTATTAGAAAGTATTTATGACAGTTTGTGAATCCGGATTAAGCACTAATTTGGTGATAATTTTGAGCTAAGTAATAAATTGCAAAAGTACGAAAAAGTTTTCAAGTTTATGAGCATTCTGATTATTGATATTTCAAGTCATCAAATTTGATAAGTGTTTACTTTTTTAAATTATCCACCGGAATTTAAAGTTAAAAAAAAAATCCAACTAGGTTTAAATAAAATATTTAGGCAAAATATTTATAGAATATTTTGAAATACAAAAACCAATTGTTTGCTTAGCCTTAAAAAAAACGAAAGCAAATTTAAAGTATGCCTATCTTACACACCCATTCACAAGTCTTGTATAAAAACCTGATTTCTCGTAAAAAATTACTCACTAGTTCCCTCTAGTGTTGGTGCTTCTTCTGGCAATGCTAGATCAGTGCGAGATACTTCCGCTTCTGTGACAGCTTGTTTAGCTGGAGGAAGCTTTGGATCTGCATCAGCTTTGAAATAATATTACAATTATTTGATTGGGTAAATAAAATATAGATGGTAAAATCCTAATCATTGACTTGACAAAAAAGTTGGACGTAACAAAAGTAATTCCAACCCAAATTTTCACCAAATGAAATTTTCAAAATACTAAATCAGGACATAAAACTGAAATAAATTTTAAATCTGAGCATCCGAATAAAATGACTCGGACTATATAATAAATACCAAACGATTGACTCGACTCGAGACGCAGATAACGAGTGATTTGCGACTTAGGGTTCACGGACTTTAATCCAACACTAGAACAATATTCAGGATGGACAATTTTAAAACATTGGAGAAAAGAATGCACAACCTGCCAGAATTTGTTACCAGCCCATCGATTCAACAGAACTACAACTAACAACATAATTGTTTGCTATTCTCATAAGTCATATATTGTTTTATCTGAATCAAAGATCATAGGGGTACTTGCTATCAAAAAAATGCAACACAAGTCGAGTCATTAACTTCCTGAGTAACAAGTCGAGTCCCAAGTCATAAGCAAGAGTGAAATGAACAAATACCAGTCACCTTGTTAGAAAATTACTCAAATTTATTGTTGATGCCATAACATGAAACCGGAGTTACATGGCTCGGTATCTGCCTGGAGTCCGAGTTCAATACATCAAGTACCACAAGTATTTCTAGAGGTTGCGGCCATACAGAAAAATAAAGTTTGTCTCCTGACCATAGAGGTTGTATTTTTTGTTTTAGTTAGATTGTTAGCTTTGGATCCTGACAAAGTTTAGGCCTTTTAGTTTATTTTGGATATCATAAATGGAAGTTGGGAATGCCGCAGGTGGAAGCAAATAATTGTGGCTGATGTTTTCCACGGGAAAAAATAAAGCAGGATGAGTGAAGTTACATTCCAACGATGAGAAGACACACCGGTATGTTGATAAACCAAGGAACACGATAATGCTTGTGAAAGGATATGAGCGAATAAAAAATTATTGTAAAATTATATTTATGATTTTTTTTAGGAATAACTAAATCATTTGCAATAATTCACTGAGGAATGTTACTCACTAGCTCCATCTGGTGCCGATGCTCTTTTAGACTCATCAGAGTGGAACGGCTGAACTTTAGATGTCACTTCTGTTTCTTCTACTGATCGTTCAGCTAAAAAAAGAAACCAAACAATAAATTAAAGCACTTCTCGCAGCTAATGCTTGGTTCGGACATCCCCTCACCAAAATCGGATATAATAATATTGCTACAGAACTAAGTTGTCAATTGCAAAATATATTTTAAGTGACTGATAACAGATCATACAGTAGACGCTTCGTGCATTCAACTCATTGCAGCAATTTCTCATTTTCGTTCGAAGATTAGAAATTTCATGGATTAGAAGGAAATTATGACAGTTTTGTAATCGAATTGAGTTCATGAAATGGCACTAAATTGATAAAAATATTGAGCCAAGTATTAAATTGAAAAAATTCGAAAGAAGTTTATGATCATTCTGCATTATTGTTTTTTAGGTCATTAAATTTGAAAAGTGTTTACTTTTTAAGTTATCCACCGGAATAATAATTTCGGATATTTAATTGGATGGCCAGAGTTCAAGTTTGTGATATTCGCTTCGGTGCTGCGATTGTATTTTTAATCTCACTCGTATAATTCTGAGTGGGTGTCATGTTTAAAAGGCGCTGAGTAACGTGTAAATTTACCCTGGCAGCCCTATTCTACAAGCAGGAAATAGAATATCAGAAAATAAAAAGGCAAAATAATTTTAGGTTTAATTAAAACATTTGAGCAAAATATTTATAGAATATTGTGATTTACAAAATCTAACTGTTTGCTCAACATTGATAAAACAAAAGCAAATGAAAAGGATTTCTATCTTACACACCCATTCACAAGTCTTATATGAAAACCTGATTTTTTCTAAAAAGTTACTCACTAGTTCCCTCTGGTGTTGGTGCTTTTTCTGGCAAAGCTGGATCAGTGCGAGACACTTCCTCTTTTGCTACAGCTTGTTCATCTGAAGGAAATTGTTGAGCTGTGGCAGCTATGGAAAAATAATACACCTATTTGTTTGGTTGAATAAAATGATAAATACGAAAAATTCTATGAAATGACTTAAAATGACGAAAAAGTTCGACGTAACAAAATAAATTCCAACCCAGATTTCAACCAAATAAAATGCTAAAAAAAAATACCAAATCAGGATATAAAAATCCAATACCAAACGATTCCCTCGGCTCGAGGCGCAGATAACGAGTGATTTGCAACTTGGGTTTTATGGATTCTTCAGTTTCAAATACAAGAGAAATGGATGCACAAACTGCCAGAATTTGTTACCAGCCCATAAATTCAACAGAACTAAAACTAACAAACAAAATTGTTTGCTATTCTCGTAAGTCATATATTGTGATATCTGAATCAAAACTCACAAGTTCAAACTCGCATACAAATTTGACAACTTTAAATTCAACTACCAAGAGTTTAAAAATTTAAATTTGATGCCGCAACCTTGGTCAAAACTCTCAATCATCCCTCCGCACTCGACTCTTTTGATAATTAATATTTTAAAATCATTCGAACCAATTTCCAGAACGAATATATTACCTCGTCCAACTTTAGACACCTTCTGCACTTTAGTCGTCTGATCCATTGATGAAGCACCTGCTTCCTGGTGACTCTCTGATGCTCCAGACTCAGGTTTATCTATTACTTGAGATGATTCTGTTAGAACAAGGTTTGGAAATAATTTTGAAGTAATGTAGGAAGTAACTCTGTGGTCGACTTTAGAACAAGGTTCGAAATTTATCATTATCAATTATTGTAAAAACTAAATCTATGGCTTAAATTTTAATTTTCGAGGCATTGCTTCCAAGTCTCTACACTCCCAAGTCACAATTCAAGTCAAACTCCGGAAGCTTTGATCACTCATAGTCCCCCTGTTTGTCTTTATAGTAGCATTTATATTGTTATTCTTATTGTCAGATTCCGAATCCGAGTAAGTTCAAACAATACATGCTCGATAAAGTGAAAACAAAAATGCGAAATAACCTTATCAAGCAAAGAAAATGATAAGAACGGAGAAGTAAAATCTGTTTTGTGTCTGGCATTTTGCCCCCCCCCCTCCTGTAACTGCTTTGTGGCCCCTTTGTGAAGCTATGAATCCTGGTTGAGGACAACTGATAAAAGTTGTATTTAGGTCAGATTAAATCTTGTTAGCTGGAAAGCCTGGCAAAGTTTAAGCCTTTTAGTTTATTTTAAATAACATAAATGAAAGTTGCAAATGCCACGAGGGGAAATGTCCATGGAAACAAATATTTGTGGCTGTTAGAATCACTTTATTTATTTGCAACATTTATTTTAACAATGTTACTCACTAGCTCCATCTGGTGCCGACGCTCTTTCAAGCTCATCTGGATCAGAGTGGAACGGCTGAGCCTTAGATGACGCCTCTCCGCCTTCTATGGATTGTTTAGCTGGAGAAATAAATGAAATAATAAATTGAAGCACCTCTCCGAGATAATGCTTGGTTCGGACATCCCTCGCCAAAATTTGATATATTAATATCGCTACAGAACTAGTAGCAATTTCTCATTTTTGTTCAAAGCTCAGAAATTTAATTATTTCAAAAGCACAATAATTAACTACCAGTCCATCAACCAGCACTACAACTAACAAACATTATTGTTTGCTATTCTCATAAATTCACTTGCTCTCAAAGATTATGTAACACTTGTTTGAGATTCCGAGACTATCTTGAAACTACCTTATTGGAAGGGACTAGATAGCCTTGTCTTAGACCAGAGGATTCGACAAATAATTAAACTGCAAGTGGAAGCAGCTGTGGGAAAAGGGTGGAGTCTGTCAAGCTAAGAAGATTACTGTTTTTCAGAAATCATATTTTGTATGATGAGTTCAACCAGCCCCTTAACTCTTCGGAATGCATTAACCCATCTTCAGAGTTGAAAAAATAATCCCAACTTGAGAAAAGTAACGGTCATTTTTTCTATTTTTTACTTCGAACTCACACTTTCAAAATTCTGACAACATCAAAATAAACTACCAAAAGTGCCTTGGTCAAAAAACACTCAATTATTCCACTGCACTCTAATTATTGATAGTTTTGTTTAAAAATTATTCTTAGCAATTTCCAAAACAAATTCATTACCTCGGCCAACTTTAGACGCCATCTGCACTTCAGTCTTCTGATTCACTGGTGAAACACCCGCTTCCTGGTGGCTCTCTGATGCTCCAGACTCAGGTTTTTCTACTATTCGGGAAGGTTCTGTGAGAACAAAGTTTAGAAATCATGATGAAGTATTGTAGGAACTAATTCTATGGTTGGAATTTTAATTTTTAAGTCATTGCATTTCCGAGTCAAAGATTGGATCTCTGACTTCCTAGTAAGCAGTCAAGTTACTTCACAATTGGAGTCCATGAGTTCCCGAGTTTCAAAAAAATCACTGCATTCCCGTTTCACAAATTAATTCACTATTTGCACAAGTCGAGTCACTTCTCACAGCCTCGAGTGAATTCAAGTCGTCTTTCACCCAGATGCCTTTAGTATTTGAAAAACAAGACTCGAGTCAAGTCAATGAACAGATGCCTCTCCCATGATCATTTGGCTTTACTAGTTTTTGACTTTAGTAATATTAGATAAATATTATAAATATTGACACGGCTGAAATCGGGTGGTTCTTGCTGTCGGCATGATACCTACATTCACAAAGTCTTGCTCGGAGCAAACTGTAGAGAAATTCAGAAAAGCCAAATAAATTTGTACTCACCCATTTTGAGATGAAAATAATTGTTCTTTTCACGATGATTTTAAAAAATCGCCGGTAGTTAGCAAAAACTTGGAAACAGGCTGAGAAAAAAATTAAACACTTTTTATATCAAGAATGGGAAAATGGAATTGATACCAAGTCTTGAATCTTATATTCATATCGAGTTTCTATCATGTTTCATGACGTCATAAGGTATGACGTCATACATTCGAACTCCCTGGTAGTTCGATCTTAACTGTTGTTTCAACTTATTTCACGAACTATTTAAACTCAACATTCTGCAATAGTGGTTCCCAACCTTTCTACTCTCTGACTCTGGCTTGCCCGTAAATTAAAATAAATGTACTCGCGGACTGGTGAAAACTTGAAATGAGCGGAACAGAAAGTAATAACATATTTTCACGCAATGTTAGGCAAGGACTATGTTTCTAGATAATGAAAATAAAAATACCCGAAAGCATTTCACATGACTGGACATAGAAATTCGAAACGTCGGCAACTTAAATCGTTTTGCTAACACGGGTTGTGCTTTATTTATCTTCAATATCAAATACCGTGTCGTCCAAAAACTGAAAGCGGTGTAACATAAAATGATAACATAGATTTGCGCATTAAAATCCAATGCCTTTGCTTCATTTTGAATAAAGCTCTTGGTAAAAATATTTTTTGTTTTACGGGTTTAAAAACGATTTGATTGCTCGATTACTTGGCGATGCGTATTTGATATCGAGAGATATCCAGAATTAGGACAGGGATTTTTTAAATCTGGACTGTAAAGTAAAATCACAACATAGTCTTGCTTTCTCTTGTGATTGTCAGCTTATCGCTTTTTGGGAATTATCTGGTCCAGAAGACGACCCATTCTCCTTGTTTTTGTTAAAAGCATCAAAATTTATTGTTTGTTGAACTGATATCATATTAATCCCTGCAGTTGATCGACGCCTCAAACAAAATGGAATTATTTTTTCAAAGACAAATCCATCGATAACCTGGCACCGCACCAGGCTCAAAATCCTGTTGTACGTCACTTGGAAAAGATCACTGCCGCCCATCAAGTTATGATATGATTTACATATAGATCATATCTTACTGAATGTAAAGCAAAGCCCTTCTTGACTGTTTTCTGGTTTAAACAAGAAAATATCCATATCCTTTTCATTTGGATGGTCATATAAAGCAGAAAAAGCATGCAGAACAGATAAAATAATCGTGCCGATTTTAGGTTTCTGAATCATGCAAGATTTGACAGGGCACTTTTGCGAGGAATCGGAACGAAGCGAAAAGTGTGATTATTCAGCGTCGAGGCTTCGCGGGGTCATTAATACCGCACTAAACAAATAGCAATAAGACGACGGAAGAGAAATTGCGTAATAAACCAACGCAACTTTGTCTTGGTCAAACGATTGAGAAGGCAGGCAAAATACCAAAATAACGCAAGCTTCGCGGACCTTCCGACGGCTGGGAACCACTGTTCTATAATAATAGACTGCTCAGTTGTCCCGTCCATTTTATCTCAAATTCAAATTAGGTGATTCAACTGTGTACATAGTAATCACATCTTTGGTTAAAATCTCATACCCACGGCCACAGATCTAATAAATGGAATGCCGGAACAGCAGCTTTAGGCATTTCAGTAGTAACCGTAAATTCGCTTAGAGATCATTTTTCGGCGCGTATATGCACCAAGATGGCGCACAACCTGATAACCCCAACATTGTACACATACTACTTCAGGTTGTGCGCCATTTTGGTACAAATACTACAGGAGCACCAATTTTTCTTTACTTTTGAGTGAATGCGCGCAGCCCTATTTTTAAAAAAAATGTCACATTGATTATTATTTAAAATGCGTCTTAATGAAAACGACTCGAGTAAGTGCTTCCTGACAAATCTGAATATCGGAAGGTTGGGTGTGTAATAAAATTAGCAGATTACAATAGTCTACTTCACAACGCTGCCGTTATCGGAAACAAAAGCCAATTTGATTTGATTATAAATACATTTAGCCAGAGGCATGGATTCCCATCTTTTCTACAATTTGAAAATACCTCAAACTTGCTTCCAATATCAAAACTAGTCTATTAAATATCTATTTTCAGGACATCTGGGGTGTATCAGAAGTCTTAATACTACAACCCCAATAACGATAATACTCTATCCTGCATGCGAGCTTTCAAATGACGAGACTAACATCGCACAAATGACAAAAAATATTTTCCGAAATTGATAAGAGCTGCTCACTGTAGACTCGCAAACAAATACCCTCAATGACGTATATCACCGATCGCTGCTAATAAAGCAAACGAAAAAAGAAGTTTGTTGTGTCAGCAAAGAGTTAATGTATTTTACGAAACTATAGCTAATATTTGAACAATCGCTCGAAAATGTTAGACCATAAAGTTAGCGGTACAAACGGGCGTCGGGATTGCACTGATAACGTATTAAATTTTGTTGTTTGTGCGTTGTCATTGCAAGTCAATGACCTCAAGTAACCTGCCTGATTAATATCACACCACAGGGCCGACTAATGTGACTGCAGACTACGGCGAACCTCAATGGCGCCTCGCTGATATGAATGCAAGTTCTCAAATTCACCATTATCAATTATATAAAGTTTTTAAATCGGCATTTTATACCTGGAAAAGGGGGAATTAAAATAAGGAAATTCATTTTCTATTACAAAATCCTTATTAATCCTCTCATTATCTCTTGTAAGATACGATTTGTTTTGCATAGTGCCACACAATAATTAAGCCGGGATTGTCACTCCATATCATTCTTCAAAATTGCTTTGCATCAGAAGTGTGCAACCTGCGGCCCTCAAGGAAAAAATGTGCGGCCCTTGAAGAGGTGCCAATTTTGAATGTTGTGCGGACACGAAACAAGTTTTTAATTCAATTTGGTACGTGCAAGTAATTCCCTTTGCGTTGTGCATCCGGAGTCTATTTTAATATCTCTGCCTATCACTTTACAATGCGTTAATAGCTGCTAGCCTGTACAAACAACGCATTTCACAAAACCTTTTGGTCTGCAACTACTAGGAAATCTGTGTTTTATATAGATGCGACCCGCGCTTTCACCCTGTTTTTTCTATCTGTCCCTCCTGTACTGAAACCTACACACCTGCCTTAAAACAGCGGAACACAGCTAGTCAGTGGCCTCGATTACCCCCTTTTGGCTTCCCTGACCCTAGCAAAACGACATTATTCAAATTGTGAGTTTTTATTATATTTCATATTTATCTGTTGTTAAAATTTCTCTCACAGTTGGGCTGGGCTTCCGAACGGTTGGATTTCGAACGAAATCAGGATTGACTGGGAATTTTTGGGTTCAAGTTAATAAACTGAATTTCATTTCATGCAATATGGCAATACTGTCTGGCCACACAATGGAAATAAAAACCAAGCAAAAGTAAGACCGGAAGTCGCATCGTGAACTGTTGTTCTGGATTTGGCATGGCCCAGACATATGATAAATATTTTATGTTTAGTTTTCGAAACGTTGAATGCTTAGTATACCAGGTAGCCCTGACGTACGTACTGTTCTTTAGTTAACATATTTAGTTTCGACTTCTTATTATTTTATTACTCACTCTTTATTCTTTTTATCATGTTCTGTTATACTCGATGACCAGTACTGGTTTTCGGTATCTTCATTTACCATAGAGTGCGATTTCTTTTTAATATATTTTTAAATTTGTGTATATATGTATATCGTTTGCATTCTCAGCATGTGAAGAATTAAATTACAGATTACTAGCCCATCAGATACGTAAGGAATATTCAAATTACAAACAGGGGTGAATTCTGAAACTTCCAACTTTTTTCTTTAACTTAAACAGCACATTTTAGCAGCAACCTGAATATGCATAAATGAAAACGAGTTTAACACACCTTTTCACTTTTTATTATGAACTGGTGATTTTTATTTTTTAAGTTGAAATATTCATTTAAAGTGACGAATTGTACGTGAAAATGCAGATCTTATGCGACTCAGATTCGATTAGAAACCTCATTCATACGTATTAACCTATTTTCATGTGTTATCACAATGCACACAATCTTGAACGGCCTAAATCAGGGGTCGGCAACCTACGGCCCGCGGGCCGGTTCAGACCCGCGGAGCAATATAATCCGGCCCGCGACGCCTCACTGAATTATAGTAACAAATTATAGCTGTTTTGTCGACTATATTCTTTACGCAAAAGAATTTACGTGTAGATTACTCGTTTAATGAGACTATAATTTAATTATAATTTGGACAAATGGCAACAAAACGCAGAAAAGTTGATACTAATTGCAAATAGTTTAATGGCGCAAAAAATATTCAAATGGTCAGTCTTTGTGCGCTGCTTAAAATTTGACTTCTGATCTGTGTAATAAAATGTGATTCATCGATTTTTAACTTTCTAAAAATATGTGCGGCCCGCCAACGACTTGCAACCTTTAATTTTGGCCCGCTAGCGACAAATGGTTTAAATCATCATGTTTTTCATCTATAAGCTTAAAGGACAGTTATACGGTGTCTCATCGTGTTTAAACCGCAATGTGAGATTAGCGATGCAGTGCAATGTCCCGTATTTTAAACCTCATTTTAAAGTTCTGGCGACTTTCCGGAATCTCTGTCCTGTGAGTTTGTCTTATGTATTTTGTTGTATACCCAGGCATATGGAAACAATGCTCCCAAAGAAGGTAAAAAATATTTTGCATCAGTTTTTGTAAAAATGGATTTTGCAGAATTTGCAGTGAGACACAACCTCGTACGCACGTTTTTCATTAATATTTCGCTCGATTTGTGGGCGATTTACTGATGAAATAACGTTTTTTAATCATCAATCCTTCAAACGAACCAACCGAGATATAAGCGCTTGTATAACTCGGAGCAAGAAGAGATCTCCTCTAGTTGAGGTCTCATCTGATGTGCTGACGGCGGATTGTACCTGGCCTTGTTCGGAGCGAATGTCGCGGGTAGTCGTCGTATTGAAAAAAAATGGGTTCCCCGAAATTTTTACGCGGATTACGTTCATAGAATCAACTAATTTCATTAATAATTTTTATCAATTAACGATGGAGA